TATATATATATACTGGGTCCTGTACATTCCAAATTCCAAACACTATGTTAAATAGCTGGATTTGACAAAGAGTCCCACTGAATTCTGTAACAAAGGTCAGATTTACAGGTGACTGGAGCAGATCCTTATAAGATACCTATGTACACACAACAGTCATTTGTTGTTATTTCCACTTAAAAATTAATGGCTTTTCCAAATGATGCAGCCAAGTTCGCTTCCCTGAAGGCTTCTGATACAGTCTGATGGATTAAAAAAAAGAAAAGGGGTGAGAATCTGCAAACATAAGAACATTTAAGCAGCAAAATAATGGGCACAATACTTACAGGGTGGGCATGACATACTCTGGCTATATCCTCACATGATGCTCCATATTCCATGGCAAGAGTAGCTTCATTAATCATCTCCCCAGCACCCTGTAATTTAGGAAAGAAAAGTTGATGATTAAGAAAAAAGGTTATGATGAATAGGATAAATATTGTTGGGAATATGCTTTGTTTCTGCAATTTTGTACCTTAATATAATTCTTAAGTACAGGTACAGTTTAATTGGCTGTGTTATCATTTATAAAAGAACTATGGCCCAAACATTTTTGGCCAAAGTAAATGACCTCCTGTGACCCAAAACTCAGCATATAGCAGGCTATTCCCCACTACGTGCTGACAGCGCAGAGCCGTGCTGTGGCAGGGAAAGATCAGACAATATTGTCGAGATCCACCCTACTACCCGATCCTCTCTAGAGGCAGAGCCAGTTGTGCCCATCTCTCCAGTCAGCGCTGGAGGAAGGGAGGAGAGAATCACAGTAGGTAGTGGTGAAGATCAAGAACTGAGTGTTCAGCAGTATGTGATCACTCAGTTCTCAATCTATAGAGCCAACCTGTGACAGCTTCAGTGTCACACATGGGCTCTAATTATGGGGATGAGTGTATTTCACTCTCACCATAATTCTCCTTTAAACAGGATAAATAAAAGTAAAAATATAACACTGGTTTATATGCTTTTGCACATAGAAATATATAAACTTAGTTCCCCCTTGCACTTTTCAATTAAAGGTCAACTATAATGGTCGGTCCTATTTAATGTACACATATACACACTTTGTGTTACAAACTACAAGTTATAAACATTGAATACACGAGAAAGAGTTCCCAGAGCATTATGTGTTAGCTAAAAACACAACAGAGCAGCTTGCTTTACAATTCCCTCACTGAAACTTAGACCCTATTCACACTGGGCATTCTGGTATTCCTGCGGTATGAACCTATGGATTCTTGTGGCAGAAATGCCAGTTGTCCCCGTTCAGATGCAGCCGATGTACCCACAGAAGTAAATGACACAGCGATAGCAGCCACACCTGTCGGCAGTCCGCATGTAATTTTATAAGGTAAAATGAATTGCTGTTTTAAATTAAATAGATGAGTGTCACTGGACGCATCTTATATACCAAACCACATGTAATCGTACCATGTACAATTACTTGCGGACTGCCGCTGACAGATGCGGCCACTGTCACCCTGTCATTTACTTCAATAGGTACAGCAGGCACATCTAAATCCAGCTGCAGGAATCCATAGGTTCTTGCTGCAGGACTGTCCGATTGCCCTGTGTGAACAGAGCCTTAGACTAAGCCCTCTAAAAGTGCCCATACACCTTACGATTATCGGACGAAACTTTTCATCCAATGATCGAACCGTCATACGATTTTCGTACGACGGCCCCATCTTGCCCCGATTATCGCAAGGTCCAATTAGCGGTAGTTAAAAAAAACACCTGGACGACTTGCGGTAATTGACCGCAATTGTTTTCGTTTGCACATGCGCAGTGTTAATCGTACGACTTTTGACGGACGGAAACGCCACCAACCATGCGAACATCGTACGATCTAGCAAAGTTTTCAAACATGCTTGACCGTCAAAAGTCGTACGATTGTACAGTACTATCGGTTGGGCACTCTATTCACACATTACGATTGTCGTACGAAAAGTCGATCGCATACGATTGTCGTACGATAATCGTAAGGTGTATGGGCACCTTAAGACAAGTCACCACCCTAATGGCTCACTGGAATTCTGTAAACAAGCCTAATTCAATACAGCTGAAAAGTAATTATGGTATCTATGTGAAAAGGAGAGTGGACCTCAACCTGTGACCAGACTAAAGACTACATAATAGTAATATTAAATATTCCATATTTAACTTACCCAAAAAAAAGTTACTTATAGTGTTTACCATAAAAAAGATGCACTTACTGATCCCAGGATATGAGCTCCAAGCATTCTGTCAGTAGACTTGTGACTCAGAATTTTCACCAAGCCATCTGTGTCTGCATTGGTCTTAGCTCGGCTGTTGGCAGCAAATGGGAACTTTCCAACTTTGTATTCCACACCCTGCATAATTGATAAAAAGAACAAGTTATCTAGGGACACTTACCAAATGTTACTATCAGCTACAGCCCTAATATATCTATTGGAATACCCATCAAACAAAATATTAACAGAAGCTTACACATCCTTTTAGCATTTTTTTGTTTTGCAAGTTGTCACAAACACAGGACAGACATATGTATACCTCTTCTTTTAGTTGTTCTTCTGTCTTGCCCACCCAGGCCACTTCAGGGTGGGTGTAGATGACAGACGGTACGCAGTTGTAGTCAATGTGGACAGCTCCACCAGCCATGCCCTCCACACAAATTATACCTTCATCTTCTGCTTTGTGTGCCAACATCGGTCCTGCCACCACATCACCAATAGCAAAAATACTGAAATAAAAAGAAAAACATATCCATTACAAATATACTGAAAAACCCTAAATTGTTATTATAAACTATCTTTAAACAAAATGCATATTCTGGTGTCAAATGTTTTCGTTAAAGAGTAAGTATAGCTAAAACTTTATTTAGTTTTGGATAGAGTACGGAAGGTTTAAAACCCTTGCCAGGTTAATTTTTTGCTATATGTGTGCCATTGAGGAAAATTTCCATTCACTTGCTGTTCCAAAGACACAACAGATCGTATAAAACTTCCAAAAAGTGCGAAGAATTTCCCACTTGAACCATTGTCACCGTAATAAGTGTCCCCATTGGAAGATTTTCGCTCACCTCTTGTTTTAGGCACAACTCTAAAATTCTGGATTCCCGCAGCTGTTTCAGTGACAATGATCGCCAGTATAAATAGAGAGGTGAATCTCCCCAGTTGGGACTCAGACAGCAATACAAACTGGACAGTAGGTCTAAGCCTTCACCACTATCTAAAATTATAAATAGCATCACACAATCTTACTACAGCCATCAGTTCTCTGTGGACCAGTGGACCTACTGGACCATAAACAATGCTAATACTAAGGGGCATATTTGAAAAGCAGTGAATCTTTATTGTGGATGTGTTTTAACCACTTCCCGTCAGCTGATCGTTGAAAGACGGCCGGACGGGAGTCTCCTGGATGCGGGTGGGCCTCTTTAGACATCCTTCGTGCTGCGCCCCCTGGGCCAGCGATGGCCGTTTACTTACAAGCGGTCAGGCGTCTGTAAAGACACCCGATCGCTTGTATGATGCAAGTGAGGGTGCGCCCCCTCCTTACCTCTCGTCGCCGTTGATGTCCCGGCCGCCGGCGCCCCCACGATCCCGGGTGTCCATCCATTCCGGGCGATGTGGTTCTGTGGACTGAGAACGGAGGGAGATCAGTCTGCTATCTCCCTCCGCACTCCTCCCTGTCTCTGAATGCAGGAAGTGATGAATATTACATAACTTCCGCATTCCTCTGTCACTCTCCGGTACAGAAACCGGAGAGAAGCCGATGAAGCAGATCTCTGCTTCATCAGCTTCTCTGGGGGTCCCTAGGTGACATTAGGGGTCTTAGAGACCCCTGATGTCTCCATAAAGGGGACCTGTAACTGTAATTTGTTATCACATAGGAGCACCCTATGTGATAACAATAAAGTTAAGTGTAAAAAAAAAAAAAAGAAATTGCTCACAAAATAAATACAAATTAACACATGCGACAAACGCGCATATTCAATACGCCTAGGTGTGAACTCAGCCTCAAACCCCCCAGTGGTGATTAAATACCACCAAAAGAAAGCTCTATCTGTCCCCCAAAAATGGTATAAAATGTATGTCAGTACAGCGTTGCATGACGGAATAAAATCAAAGTACCGCAGTGCTGAATACTGAAAAATGGTCTGGACAGGAAGGGGGTATAAACACCCCGGTCAGCAAGTGGTTAAATATCAGTGATTGATTCACCACGAGTGAATGTTTAGTACAAGTCTAAATTCACTGCTGTATAAATATGCTTCTATGACTCCATAGTGAGGAGTCTCTGTAAGCAGTTTAAAAATCAAGAAAACATTTCTATACTACAAAGCTTTCTGAAGTTCTGCTCGCACTCTAAGTACATTATCATGCTCAATTAATGCAAACTCACTGGTATTATCCTAGTTTGCCATTTTAAATGGTTAGAAGACAGTAACTTTGGAAGATGTTCACCAAAGAAATAGATCGACTTCTCTTACTGGAGAAATGCGGGTATATAGCAAAAATACATTATCTCCCAAGACAACCAAGTGCACTGTGAAAAGTAACAGAGGACTTTTTAGCTGGTTAAAACCCAAATGCAATTGTTCATTCCAATTATCTAATAACAGCGACAGGTAGAGTTAGTATTTAAACTTGCAAAGGAACTACATAAGCGTGTGCTCAGCAATGTCTTCAATGGACAAGATTGCAGAATTAGTAATACTGCAAGCTGAAATTTTTTAGGTCAATCGCTGCTTACTTTGGGATCTTTGTCTGAAATCTGCTGTTGATTGGTACTCTGCCCCTGTTGTCCAGCTCAATTCCCATTTCTTGCAGTCCCAGGTTTTGGCTAAAGGGACGACGGCCAATACATACAAGCAGAACATCACATGCGATTACCTCTTCCTTGCCACCAGCTGCTGCTTCAATACTGTCAACAAATAATGAAATTATATCATGAAAAATCAATGCTCAGTCACTTTTGTAACAACGCAATGTAAGTTTGGATAGCACTTCTGTAGATCATGGAAATAATTTGAGTACAAAACACGCTACGTATGCGGTGGTGTTCTTCCTAATATTTTATGTACACTCAAGTATTTTTTTTTTGCTGCAGTTTAGGCCGTGTTCAGAACAAGCTGAAAGGGGATGCTTGGAGGCACATCATAAAAGGTTAGCAATTTCCTGGCCATGACTTGCATTACACCAGCCTGTATATTGCATAAAATACTCAATCAGTGCCTGGCCTTGAACTTCAATTGACTACTCTGCTCCTAGGGATTGAAAAGCAAAGTCAACATAGCATAACTGGCAATTCTATAGCTCTAATATGATTGATACAATGAAGCAGTGAAAGAATACGTACGCAACATCAATCTTGCCATCTGGCCTCTTGGCTGCACCAGTGACCTTTGTGTTCAGTTTGAATTTGAGACCTTGCTTTTGAAGGATGCGTTGGAAATTTTTTGATATTTCCATGTCAATGCCCATCCCACCTACATGGCCCAAGAATTCAACTGCTGTAACATCTGCTCCCAACCGCTGCCACACAGATCCCTGACAAGAGAAAAAATAGTCAGTATACAGAGAAAAAGGAAAAATATTTTCATTAAAGAAGAAGCATGGTAGCTAAGTGTTCTAGCTACTCTTATTTCCTACAAAAAAAAATATACTGGTAAGTCAATTAGATTCCACCCCAAACTGCTTGGATTGAAGCATTTCTAAATCCTCTATCAATTCCCCATTGCTGTCCAAAAACCCAATGCAGAGATCTCCCATTACCCTAAAGTAGTTATGACAGCAAGCTAGGAGAGAAGATGGGCTCCTTGTTCCTGCCAGCTTTAGTTTTCTTAATTTCTTGAGCATGCACTCCATAATAGGTTATACTGAACATATTTGCACGTCATAAACAGTTCTAAATCTATCGAGCACTATAAAAAATGTGCAGTACAATCTTTCTATATCTCTAAACAGTTTAGAGCTGCAGCTAACGATTATTTTCAAAATCGATTAGTTAGCCGATTATTACGTTCGATTAATCGGATAAACAATAAAATACATTTTTAAAAATGGCTCCAGTGATGGACTACTAGTTTGTATTGAAATGGGACTCCATCACAGGAGCAAGCTTGGAGCTGTGGAAGTTAAAAAAGAAAAAAAATAGTGTGGTGTGCAATATAGTGAAATGGAAAGTGTAAAATTATACAGCAATGAATGCAGAATGGCACCGGCTATAGAGGACTACAAATCCCAGCAATAGTACATTATACAGCACAATGCAGAATATCACCAGCTATAGAGGACTACAACAAATCCCAGCAATAGTACATTATAGCTGGCGGTATTCTGCATTGCGCTGTATAATGTACTGTTGCTGGGTTTTGTAGTCCTCTATAGCTGGCGGTATTCCGCATTGCGCTGTATAATATATTATTGCTGGGATTTGTAGTCCTCTATACAGCGCAGTGCAGAATATCACCAGCTATAGAGGAATACAACAAATACCAGCAATACATTATATAATGTATTGCTGGGATTTGTATTCCTCTATAGCTGGTGGTACATTGTGCTGTATAATATACAGCACAATGTACCATCAGCTATAGAGGAATACAAATCCCAGCAATACATTATAGAGCACCATGTGTGGGAAAGTGCAGGCTTAGCTGAGCAGTCTTCCAGCAACTTGCTTCTGACATTGGACCTGTCTATTGGTGGCTGTCATCCCCCCACACCTGCTCCTCCTTACTACATCTCCCCGCGTCCCTGTGCCGATCGTGGATGTGGGCGGGCAGTGAGTGTAAGGCGGGGAGGAGGTGCTGTGTGAAGAGCGTGGATGCGGGCGGGTCTGGCAGCGACGAGCGTGAGGTGATGAGGAGGTGCAGCGCACAGCGTGTGTGGAGCCGTGAACAGGGCCAACTGATTGGAAGCCGATTAATCGATTATTGAAAAAGTTGACAACTTTTTCAATAATCGATTATAATCGATTATGTCGATTAGTTGTTGCAGCCCTAAAACAGTTTACTATGTACATCAACCTAATATTAGCCAGTCTAAATCTCAGTAAGAAACAAAATATATACTACAAAGAATGAGTGAAAAACAATGAATTTACCAATTCAACACCAATTACACCAGCACCAATAACCACCATCTTTTCAGGCACTTTCTTCAGAGATAATGCACCAGTGGATGAAACTACTGTATCTTCATCTATCTGGAATTAGATAAACAAATATTAGACTTTAAATGCCTGTGTTAAACTAATTGGTCTGTGAGTGGACCTGAACGACTAGTCCCATGATGACAGAATGATGCGTTGTAGAAGTCTGCAGTGAAATGGTCTCAAAGGAGGCTACTACCAGGCCCAAGACTGTCATGCATAAGCGGAGTTTCAGGCAACTCCTGGACTAGAGAGCTGAATCTAAAATAAGAGTGTCTGAAGTTTCTCCAATTGAAAAAAAAACAAAAACAAACAAACCACTCTGGCCTAAACCCAGATAATTTAAACAGTAAGTCATCTCCACCGACGATTTCTGAAGGTTAAGGATCCATTCAAACTAGTGTAATGTCTGGACAGTCAAAACCATTGTCTGACGAATGCATGCATCAACTGCTCCCTTAACAGGAGGTATATGAATTGGTAGTGTAGGGGCTCAAAAACATAGAATATGTTGATGGGCTATAACATTAGGATATACAGGTTTGCGCCCTTGGATGTCCACAGAGCCAGAAAGTCTCCCTGGTGAAGGAAGGCGATGACAGACCAGGTGGATCCCATGCGGAATTTCTGGACTTGAATTAACACATTTAAAGCTTTGAAATCCAAGATGGCATGGATGCCATCCTTGGAATTATAAAGGGTGAACAGGATGGAGTAAAATCCTGAGAGGACTCAATGGAGATCTGCTAATCTGTGCGGTGACACAGGCAGGTTGGAGATGATTTAGGCAATAAAGTCTTGCTTAAATGAAGTAAATTTCTCAGCCAAAGGGACATAGGAACCAGCCACACCTGACAGAACTTGCGGGGATATACTCTAGGAGCAAAAGGCAAATAAAGATTCCAGGCTGCAGATTTCGACACCACTATTTGAAATGCTGCAAGCATCCCCGAAGCTGTTAGTAGAGTGGGAGCAAATCAGTACTCCTCCCACCATCACTTATCTAAAATCAGACATGTTGTGACCAAGTGGTGGTAAGGCTCAAGGTAAGAAGCAAGGCCTCAGGTACTTATGAGACCTAGACAGCTGGCAGCAGCTAAGGCCCAGATGGCCAGAAGTAACCAAAGTAACTGCAGGCAACCAGCACTAACAAACTGAAGTTCAATATGGCTCTTTTCAAGCAGAAGCAGCAGTAGGGAGATGCTCCCTTAACTGTGTATTTTGGTTAGGACAAAAAGCACGTGCAATATTTTAACCAGCAGATGACATCAGCGCTCAGTTCCATAGCATTAACTCCTCCCACAGTGGTAACAGGAAGGAAACTGGGAATTTTAAAGGACCTATGTAAATAAGGTAGCTCCAGTTGCTCAGCTCAAACAGCCTACTTGCAAAGTGAGCCTTCAGAGACAGGGCAAGTGCTGAGGCAATGGCAGCATGAATAGGACACCTCTAGTACATCCATGCAATGTCCAGTCCAGCAGGGTCCAGACGTAGCACTCCAAAACCCAGGCTGAAGGCGGCAGCTAGCTCCAATCAAAGAGATAAGCTCTAGCAGTGGTGTAGTGAGGAGTCTTGATTGAAGAAAGAAAAAAAAATAAAAGGAGTAAGAAAAAAGTGCTAGCAGAAATTAGGCATGCACCGATACCAGCATCGAGTACCGATATTAATCTTTTGGTACACACCTATATCGAGTAACGAAGGCTACAGCTTTTTTTTTTTTAAGGGGTCATAAGCATTTTGCTTTTGTATCTAGATCTAAAAATAAAACAAATAAATAGCAGAACACACTCGAGTAGCACTTTTAACAGAATTTAAACCAAGTTACCTCAATTCCTGGGAAAGGAGCAACCTCAGACCCAGTGGCTATTAGAATATTCTTAGTGTTGATGACCTGTGTGCTTCCATCTGCTTTCGTTGCTGTCACTTGGTTTTTCCCTGTGATCTTTCCAAAGCCTTGGACATGGACAACCTGTGTGAAAAGCATTTTACATTTTCTGTAATGATGCATAACATTTTCATAGATTTTTTTTTCACCAGTCAGACTATTTTTTTTCTTTGTTGCCTATGTGTAGTACTGGCACTCAGCAGGAACCAGTAGACTCCTAAAAGGTTTTTATTGTGCTGTGGCCAGAAACAGATTTAGGGGAGTTTACTAAAACTGGAGCAGTTGTGCATAGCAACCCATCAACCCAGCTTTTAGGTTGTATTTTCAAAGCTTAAAGGTGCCCATACACTGCTCAATTCTCGTACGAGAATCGCGGGAAATCCCACGATCGTACGAGAATCGAGCAGTGTGAACGAAGAAGTGCGACCGTTTCTACTGTACGGTCGCACGTCTTTTGTCGAACCAGCATGCTCGAAAACCCGCCGAGAATCGTACGATTGTCGGCGGGTTTCTAGCCTGCTCGTTCGATAGCTGTGGAACGGGCCGGTGTGCGCACACTGCCCGTTCTTCATTGTGGTCATCAGAAGCCCGCCCCTCAGCGGGCTTTCGATGATCGCAAGTACGATCTGCCCGTCCAAGGTGGGCAGATCGTACGAGCTTTCAATAAGCATACGACCAACGCAAGACAAAAGTCTTGCGATGGTCGTAAGGTGTATGGGCACCTTAACTGAACAAGCTGAAGAGAGAGGCTGATTGGTTACTATGAACAGCTGCTCCAGATTAATTCTGTTCCATTTTTACTAAATTCCCCCTTGTGTCTTAATTTCACTGTTTACCATGGCCAGTTGACTGCAGTTGCATGTAGTTAAATAGTCACTCCAGACAAAGGTGATATTTAAAGTTAAGGCCAGTGGCACAAGTCTTGTTTTTTTATAAGCAAACAGAAAACTTTCCCGCCCATAATTCCAAGCTCTGTTCCTGTCAACCCAAGGGCTTTAACCCTTTCGCTGCCAAGCCCTCCGGAACATTT